GATGGATGGATGGATGGATGGATGACAATACAGTTGCATTCTGGACCACTTGTGGCATGATCCAGTTTGAGTCCTCTTCCAGCAACTACACAATGTACAGGCAATAGCAAAACAGCCCTAACCCGCCCCATGCCCAATCCAGAACTTTCTGGCCCAGCAATAGGGGTCCTCTGGTTCTGGACCTGCGATGGAGCAATGAGGACCAGATTGTGCACAGAAATGTCACTTTAAAGAACATCACACCCGGTGAAGCAACCCTTTCCAGTGTGATCCAAGACCAACCACAGACCTCGGTCTTATTGTATCCAAAGTTCCCAAGCTCTGACTGAAAATATGTGGAACACTATTCGGCTGGTGTGAGAGAGTTGGACTGTATCACGCCAATTCTCTGGTTTGCCTGCACTGGTTAGCAATCCACTTCTGTGGCAGGCTTGAGATCCTGGTTCTATCCTAGAAACCCCTGAATGGTTTGGGGCTTGCTACTTCCCCGAGTGACTTCTGCCAAGTTTGACTGCCCATCTGAACGGATCCGCACGGACCTCACGCCTGCAGGAGTTAACTCCCGGAGAAGCCCAGAAGTAACCAGAGACCGGGTCTTCTCTGCGGTGCCACTGTTTCTATGGAATGCCCTCCAAAAGAAACGATGGCAAGCGCCCTCCCACTGCATATTGAGAAAGCTCCTTAAAACAGAATTATTCAGAGAAGCTTTTGGGGAGAATCTCCCCCAACAGCTGGGATATTGGAGGAAGGGAGGAATGAATACGGCAGTATTACAGTGTGTTTCGGAAATTGTTTCATCACCTGTTTTAGGTTATGATTTACATTTGGGATAGTTCATTGTTTACATTATTGTATCCTATAGATTTAATTTGTTGTGCACCGCCCAGAGTGGCAATTTGTTAGAAGGGCGGTGGACAAACTGAATAAATAAATTAAACAAATAAATTGATGCAGGAGCACAGAGAAGCATTCCCTGCTCACTAAGAGGCTGCCGGGAGATCTTCTCATACAAACGGTGGGTCAGAGGAAAGACAGCACTCGATTTAAATGGATTTTCAGTGTATTTCACTAAAACGCTGAGGTGGCATGCAATGGGGTAAATCAGCATCAGGCAAAGAGGGATTGCACCATAGCGGGAAGCGAGGGCGTACCTGTGTGGGAACAGGGCTCCATTTCACCTCTGCGGCAAAAATGTATCGGTATTTCTTCCCATTGTAGTCATAGTTGATGCGAGGCAGTTCCATCCCTGTGAGAGCAGGAGAACCAAGTTGTGCTCATAAATAACAAAGGCAGAAGAAACAGACGGGCAGAAAGAGTCCAGCGGGGAGGACTCGTACAGCGGCTGTGCCTGCTATGGAGTTCCTCTGACCTCGATGGGAGTCGGTCATGATTTTAGAGCTGTGCTCATATCTAAAGCCACGCTCCCATGCCACGGGGTGGGCATCTTCCCCGGGTCACTAAAGCAGAAGGGATCCCCCATGGAACTCGCCAAGGGCTTCCCCATCAATGAAGCTCTTGCCACTGTTACACCTGTATCCATAGATAGATTCTTATCATGTGCTATCAAGTCAGAACTGAGAGAGACCCTTAAGAGGGCCTTCATAGTAAGTGGGCTATTTCAGTTGTTTTACCAGTTTCACTCCTTCAGTGAGTCTTCATGGCTGAGTAGGGATTCGAACCCTTGAGTCTGGAGTCCTAGTCTGTCACTCTGTCCAATGCAGACCTCGATGGGAGTCGGTCATGTTTTTAGAGCTGTGCTCATATCTAAAGCCACTCTCCCATGCCACGGGGTGGGCATCTTCCCCGGGTCACTAAAGCACAAGGGATCCCCATGGAACTCGCCAAGGGACAATTTCCGTGGTCATGTGGCCAGCGCAACTAGACACGGAACATCATTACCTTCCCACCAAGACGGTACCTATTTATCTACTCGCATTCTTACATGCTTTCGAACTGCTAGGTTGGCAGGAGCTGGGACAAGCGACGGGAGCTCCCTCCGTTGTGTGGATTCGATCTTACGATGGTTGGTCTTCTGACCTTGCTTCACAGAAGCTTCTGCAGTTTAACCCACAGTGCCAACACGTCCCCCCATGCAATGCACTGATTCCCACCAAGACGGTACCTATTTATCTACTCGCATTCTTACATGCTTTCGAACTGCTAGGTTGGCAGGAGCTGGGACAAGCGACGGGAGCTCCCTCCGTCACGTGGATTCGATCTTACGACAGCTGGTCTTCTGACCTTGCTTCACAGAAGCCTCTGCAGTTTAACCCGAAGTGCCACCACGTCCCACCATGCAATGCACTGGGTCTCTCTGTAATAACTATCATGTGCCATTATGGTGACCCTTCCCAGGGTTTTCCAAGGAGAGAGTACCCAGAAGTAGTTCACCATGCCCTTCTTACTGGGGCATCTTGGGACTATTCAGTTTGCCCAAGGTCACGCAGGCTGGCTCTTTCCCCAGGAGCCAAAGGTTGGGAGTTCAGTTTCCCACTCTGGGCCTCCTTGATAGAAGCTGGACTTGACGATCCACAGGGTCCAGCTCTGTAGTTCTAAGATGATGACGACAACACCATTTAGTTTGTAGAGCTCAGCTCTGTAGTTCTAAGATGATGATGACGACGACACCATTTTGTTTGTAGAGCTATGACCTGAGATGGCCGATGCTCAAGAAAAGCCAACCGGCCTCTCCGCTCGATGCACCAGGGATGGTCTCTTACCTTCACATAAGATTTCAGGCTGACAGTAGATGCAGCCGTCTTTTTCCTTCACAGCGGTCGCCGTTGTTGATGGGAGTCGGACCAAATTCGAGCCCACTTCAGTGTCCTAGGAGACAAAACATCCCGGAAAATAAATAGGGTTCCAAGAGAACATATCCAAAGCTGAACGCAACACTGAAAAAGATGCTTTTAACAATGTGACGCAGTTAACAACATCATGAGTTAGGTTCAAAGGAGAAGGTTGATTGGCTGCAGTGACAGTAAATTCAAGCTATTCGGGTATTCAGTTGAACATTTTAGGGGAAAATGGGAAATGATTCTGTTTCCTAAGACCAGAAAGCAGGGATCAGCCGTGTGCGGCTTGTCAGAAATGGCTGGATTTTGACTGCCTGCACTCTTCACCATGGGCTGTGTTGGGATCTATTGGAAGCAGTGACATCTGGAGGGCTACATTTTGCCCAAAAGGGTGTAGGGGAAAAATAATTTTAAAAACCATACTGATCAATAATGCCTTCTGGTGTTTTCCACTTGAAATTGCAGGTCTGATTGGCCAAAAATGGGTAGACGACAAGGGAAATTACTGATGAAGTCCCAGCCATTAATCCAGAGTTGATCATCATCATCATCATCACCACCACCAAGTCCCTTTCCAGAGTTTTGCAGGTCGGGAATATTCAGAAGTGGTTTTACCCTTCCCTTCCTCTAGGGGGCATCCTGGGGACTGTGCAGCTTGACCAAGGCCACCCAGGCTGGCTCTTCTCCCGAGAGGCACAGTAGTGGGGAATCAAACTCCCAACCTCCGGCTCTGCCGTTGGGTACCTAACTCACTGAGTATAAAGATATTTCAAAATTGTAGGGCAGAGTCATGTCACAGCCATTCCAGAGGCTGCCACTTGCAGGATGGTATTGATGGGCAAAAAGAATTCTTCCTTGCAAAACAGACACAATAAATTTCCAACTGACCGAATCCTGGTTGAGAAAAGGTCTTCAAATCACGTGGGCATCACATGGCACCTGATGTATCTGTGAAGATCCTCAGCCCTTTCAAAATTGTAGGGCAGAGTCATGTCACAGCCATTCCAGAGGCTGCCACTTGCAGGATGGTATTGATGGGCAAAAAGAATTCTTCCTTGCAAAACAGACACAATAAATTACCAACTGACCGAATCCTGGTTGAGAAAAGGTCTTCAAATCACGTGGGCATCACATGGCACCTGATGTATCTGTGAAGATCCTCAGTCCTCCAGGTGAAGCTATCTGGAAGGTGAGTAATGGCCACTGGACCTCTTTCTTATTAGGTTGCAACGTTTCCCTAGTCATCCAAGCAGCTTCTTCAGTCTGACGAGAGTTGGTAGGAGACCCCGGATGATAGAGCCTCCACGTTTCACTCTCCCCAGTTCAGATCAAGGGGAAGTGAAGCCAACGTGGTGTCTCCTCAGACTGAAGGAGCTACTCGGATGAGTAGGGAAAAGTTTCAACCTAATAAGAAAGAAGTCCAGTGGCCATGATTCAGCTTCTAGATGACACCTGGTGGTTGATCCTGTAAACCAGAGAACCTCCGATTCAGGTCCGGAGGCCTTTGGGTGTGTACATTCATGCATGCCTGTTTGTGTGTGCTGTGTACACCTTTTTATCAGCCAAAACCTTCGCGTCTCACAGGAACATTTCCCCCCTAATCTGAAGAGTGCTTTCCCCTTCAGGGCGTGAGGGACGTCCTCCCATCTCACATGCCTTCCAAGGTGGCAGGAGCTCCCTTGCTCGCCTTGGGTCCTTTTGAGGAGAAAGGCGGGGGTAGGCACCCTGTTTCCCTGAAAATAAGACTAACCTGGAAATAAGTCCTAGTAGGATTTTTCAGGATGCTCGTTATATAAGCCCTACCCCAAAAATAAGCCCCAGTGAAGTGAAATCCCGCCCTCCACCCTTGTGCAGCAACCAGAAGATGATGACGTGATTGCATTTGGGTGGGTAGGTAGGCAGGTAGGTAGGTAGGTCGGTCGGTCGGTCAGTCGGTAGCATGACTAGACTGACTTAGGTGCCGCCTGGCTTCCGGAACCGAATTTCTGTCTCTCCACACACCTCCAAGGTGTTAACTAGAATCCAGAACAGGAGCCATCCTGCAGTCTGAGCATCCTGCAGGGTGCTTAGAAAACCTTGCTTCACTCCTTTTCCACAACCCAACTCTCAGTGTGTGTGTGTGTGTGTGTGTGTGTGTGTGTGTGTCTGTCTGTCTGTCTGTCTGTCTGTCTGTCTGTCTGTCTGTAGTGTCCTGGAACGGATTATCGTCGTTAAGCGAGTCACCACTGTACCGCTTCTGGACTCCCTAGACAAAACATGGCCTCTGATGTGCCTTCGTTTCTAGACAGCAACTGCTTCATATTGAGTTAGACCACTGGGTCCATCTAGCCTAATACTGCCAACTCTGTCTGGCAGCAGCTTTTCATGGTTTTAGGGTAGGACCTTTTGACTTTGCTTCCCCGATGAAACCCTGGCCCTGCTTCCAGAATAAAATGAGACAGGGTGCACATGCGACTGGGTGTAGGCAATGAGTACTTGGGTCCTAAATTAGCTGACCCATTCTGGAGTTACCTTGTCACACTGCAGAGGAAGCACAAACCTCTTGCAGGTTGGGATGGAAGTGAGCTTCATGTTGTCCTCAAAGTTACTATTCAAGTTCTTGAGATAGAACATTTGGTAGAGGCTGTTGTCGGTGTAGGAGATGATGTCTAAAACCACGTGGTTGTCCTCCTCGTAAGCGTTCACGTGATGGAAGAGGACCAGCGCGTCTGTGTAATACTTGGTAGGGAGGACTTTTTTGGTCCTTTTGTCAATGAGGTGGATCCAGGTCTGCAAAATGGGAAAGCAAGACTTGGTTAGGAGGAGTCCAGAAACAGGGGTGGCTCATTCTTTTATAAGACCGCCAAAACCTCATGAATAGGTGCTAGTTTTTGAGCCCTGGAGGGCTCTTCATCCTGCCAGGCTTGACAGAGCTGGAAAAGGAGCAGAAGAAACAGGACAGTTCCCAACCTGATGGTTAGATGGTGGGGCCAGTCCCTCTTGTTTACGACCTGTCAGGATACCTCTGTCTTCACAGCAGGTGGCTTTTGTTCGTTAGGAGTACTAATTACAACAACAACAACAACAACAACAACAACAACAACAACAACAACAACACCAACACCAACACCAACACCACCACCACCAACAACAACAAAATACAACACCACCAACAACAACAACAACAACAAAATCTCCGGTTGATCTTGGGCCTGTCATTTGCATTTTCCCTCAGAATGACGTACTTTGCAAGGTTCTTGTCATTAGGAAAAACTTAGGATGGAGAGATCAATGTGCACTGCCTTGAGTGCATAGAGGAAAGACAGAGTGGGAGAAATGAGAGAAATAGTTATTAAAAAAAAATCCCAAAAATGTCCTAAGGGAATTTTTGTTTTACTTACAATGTCATCTATGAATGGATCATGTACAGT